TGGAGCACAGGATGATCTCCACTGCACACCTGTAGAAGGAGGTGAGGACTGAGCTTCCAGACCAGCTCGTCTCAGCCGTCTGAGGAAGTAGAGTCTCTGATGATCTTTCTTGATCAGGCTGGTGGTGTTGTTGCTCCAGCTGAGGTTGTTGTTCAGGTGCACACCCAAGTTCTTGTAGCTGGAGACCGCAGGTGCTTCACTCACACCTGCCTCCACCCTCATTTCCCCCACCCTGGGCACTTGAGCAAGGCTCTTAACCCCCACCGTCTGCTCCCCTGGGCGCTCTAGCTGGCAGCTCTCTGCTCCACACAGAGGGCTGTGGTAGCTCGGTGGTCCATATTCAACTGTCCTCGTCTTACAATGTTATTGCTGCATCACTCAGTCCTCTGTGAATAACGAGCAGCCATCAGGGCACTAACGATCAGTCGTTAGGCTGATGGTCCTCCATCATGTGAGCAGCTGGTTCTGGATGTCAACAACAAACTGGTTGATCCACTACGAGAAGGTGCTGTTTATAAGACTGAGTTTGTTGCAGCTCCTCAGACTGAAGAAGTCCTTTGGATTAAAGATGAAACATTTCAACAAGAAGACTCATCCAGAGGACCTGACTCCACGTTGTTACAGGTTTTGTCCGAGTTTAAAGAAGACGTTAATGTGTTGTAACAGAAATGATGATTTAATAATAAATCACGGTTCATAACGTGAGATACACGAGGCAAATTTCAAAACTTTAAAAGCAGTTAAACAATTTACAAATAAGTGATGAAACCAAGTCATAAATCTCGCTCCGTGTGAGCCCTGGATGCTCCGTGCGTTCGAAGCAATAAACGGGTAAATGCAAATATGTGAAGCGACGGCAGTACAAAGGTTCATAAACATCGTGTGCATGAACCGCTGGGCAAAGTTTGAATTAGTGGTTTGAAGACGCCAGCGACCCACTCTGGGCTTGGCCCTGCTCAGACCAGCCATGTGCTCATCAAGACAGTCAGAATTAAGATCAGTTTGTCTAAAGTGGGATACACAAGAAGCTC